ACTTATGCGATATAGGCGATATATCAGATATATCAGATATATCAAATATATCTGACATATCTGACATATCTGACATTTCTGACATTCGGGATTTACAACACGTGATATCGATCACGTTTTCGGATCTCACAATATGAAATATTTTGATTATATCTGATAAATATTGCATTTATTTCTCCATGCGTCTCAAATAGGGTATTATTGTTGGTTACAGTGGTATTTAGATATACTATAACATAATCATTATTGGTAGTCGAGAATATTGTATAATTTGCATCACTATGATCCCGATTAGAAAAAAAGTTTGATATAATGCCCGAACCTATCAAGCTTAAATGTCCTGTATAATTGCTAAAACAAAGAATTATAATGATTATTACCGATTATTTATTTGATAATAGGACTTGTTTTTAAAAAAGCAAAATACACAAAATATTGCTTCCATTCAGCATCATTTGATCCTCTTATTGGTGAAAAGCGTAAAAACCCTTTCGTTCGATCAGAATTCATTGCGAATGTAGCTTGATTTGGCATCAACGTAGAATTACGATCGATATAAGATTCCCCGAATTTTATGTCACTAGAATGAAAATACGATATCATCATTGTTTCTATCTATGAAAAAAGTTGAAATTTAAATTACCTCTTTTTTGTTCCAGTCCAATCAATAATCATTCCCTGATCTACAAATGTTGTATTATTATTCCAATCACTGGCATTTGTGTACACTATCAGAATGTAATTATCAAATAGCGGATAGGAGTCCAGAGGATTGAATTTATCATCACTTTTATATCCATTACTTCCTAAAGCATAACTAGGATAATTAAAATTATAATAAGGTATATTTATTTCAGTCACACTTCCATTATTTTTTTCAATCACATTATTTATTTCAGTCACACTTCCATTAGGAAGAATAAAGCGCAATAACAATTTTGGTTCATAATATGTTGTCTGATTCTGATCGTCTTTATTCTTTTCTTTCATGATGCGAACAATGACTGTTCCATCAGAAAGCGAATCAATAGTTTTAACGAAAAATTTTCTGGTAAAATTATTCACACTTTTCTCATTATATGTAAAAGTAAAATCTTGTGTATTTACATTGATAAGAAAACCAATTAAAATAACTAAAAAGATATACACGAAAGTTTGGTAGTGTGCCTGAATCTCCATCTCAAAACGTACTAGTTAATAGGTAGTGATTAGATCTGCACATCTATTTATCTATTTTTGAAAGTTATCTGTACAGTATACGATAGATACACAGTGACATATTTGTGTTTTAATGTTATGCATCAATGATTTAATTTTTAGCATTTGTTTTGATGCTTTAGTGTTTGTGTTTAGTGTTTTAGAACTTTAATTTTTTTTAGAAGGCTGACAATCATATCTTTAGCATTTGTACTAAAAATATCTATAGAAATATAAGCAGTATTAAATTTTTTTTGCAGAATTTTGAAGCAAGTTACAGTATCCTAATAATTATTGGGTTAAATTTTATTTGAATTTGGTGTTGACAATAAAACTTAAGTAGCTTGATCTTTTTGTTTGTGTTGTATTGCATTTTTAATTGAATTTAGAAATGTTTAATATCCAAATAGCCAAGTATATAACCATTAGACAAAATAATCTTATTTTCATGAGCGTAGCGATCAAAATACATCATAGTTTTTGTATCACTTTGTATTCTAGTATATAAATGCATGTACGTACGTACAGTATATGCATTTACTCGTTTGTGCAATATGACGTTACGCATAAAACTAATTACAGTATAAAAAATGAAAATATAAACTTAGTAAAATTAAATGCAAAATCTCCTTCTACAGTATTAGTGGTAGTGAATACATAATTTTAGGCAATGTATAAGTTATACCAGAGTTACACATGGCATAATAGCAACGAATTTCTAATTACCTTTTCAGTCTTTTCCATTTTATTTGATTTTATTTTATTTTTTTGGAGTGACGCTAAATAAAAACAAGAAAGTCAGTTGACAATATTAAGATTTTTAATTGCTTAAAAATATTGATCCAAATATTTCTTAAGTATCATCTTAAATAGCACAATACGAGCTACACGTAAATGTAAATTATGTAATTTCACCAAGACACGGCTAAAATCATAGGCAAAGTTTGTCTGATTGGCTAATAAATTCAATTTTAATTTTAGATTATTTATACAGTTTCGAGTACTTTTTTAAAAACTAATCATAATGAACTAAAAAAAGCTGTATAGAAGGCTTCATTAGGGATGTAGCCAAAAATAAGATCTAATTCTCGTCCGTTTAAAAAAATTAGCTTATTAATAAGTTTATTTTATCGAGTTTTGAGAACTTATTACTATACTAACTTTTTTAAACGGACGAGAATTAGATCATATTTTTGTTATAGAGTCCTACAGCTTTAATGAAACCTTATATACAGCTTCTTTATTTCATTATGATTAGTTTTTAAAAAGTACTCAAAACTGTATAAATAATCTAAAATTAAATTGAATTTATTAGCCAATCAGACAAACTTCTGCCTATGACAGCTAAAAATAATTTATGCTATATAAAACATTGTAAATTGAATTAAGACATCAAAAGCTGATTTACAAATAGTTAAGTCGTTTAATTTCAAACCTCATGTTAATTCAATAAAACACCAATGGATCGGTCAATACATGTTATAAAATGCTTTAATAAAAGATAAATAGATAATCTATTGAGTAAATTTATTTTGATTGTTTCTTGTTATTTAGTGTCACAATTTTCTTCGAAAAAGCGTGACTGGGTGATGCCAGAAATGTGTATTGTGTACAAAAAAATAAAAAAAATGAAAATTAAAAAAGTTATCAGGTAGGATTTATCCGACCGTCTATTATGATTTGCCTGCCAATAAAAATTATTTGACAAAGACAAAAATAGCCTAACTACCTTTGACTGTCACCTCTGCTTGATAATTTTATTATTGAGTTGTCAAATAATAGTAAGCATCCAGATAAATTCTGCCCAATAACTTTTTAATTTTTTAAATTTATTTTTAGATTATTATTGTCGCCATTTATTTTTAGATTTTTTTAATTAAATTTTCTTGTTTTATTTTTTCTTTTTTAAATTTTTTATTTATTTATATTTATATATTATTGTCGCCATTTTTTTAATTTATTTTTAGATTTTTTTTAATTAAATTTTTATTTTATTTATTTTTCTCTATTTTAAATTTTTTTTTTTGATTATTATTATAACAAATATGATATAACAAATAAGTTTAATTTAGAGATTTTTTAATAAAACTATAACTTTAAAGTAAAGTTTTGGTTTATATAAACATATATTTTAATTCTAAAATTCAAAATCTGTTTTTATATATATTATACAAAATGTATATTTTTAACTTGCTAAAACTGCTAGAACTTTTTTGCAAAAAATTTTGTCTAATAGGTTTATATACTAAAATAGATTCTATAAAGATGTTAATTGGTTTTTTTAAAAAATATATAATAACTTAGTGAAGTAGATAAGTTGTTATCTTTTAAGTGAAGATTGTAAATTCAAAACTTACTAGAAGTAAAATTTTAGAAAATATATCTGTATTATAGGTTTTTGTAACTGTATAAATTTATAAAATTAAAAAAAATAAAGCTATTTGGAAATACTTAAATAAAGAGATAATATAAATATTTAATAGTATTACTATAAAAACTAAATCTAAAAAATAAATTCTAATGTAAAGGAATTAAGCAAACAAAAACTTCTAGATAAGAGTATTATTAACTAGGCTGTTAGATTGAACTAGAAAAAAATATTTAACTAAACTTAATACATATATTAGAAACAAATACAATTCTTTTAAACTATTTGAATAAAATATTAGAAAACAAAGTAAAAATATATTAAAAATATTAGAAATAAGTTGTAAAATAGGTACTAAGATTTAAATAAATTTTACAAAAGCATAGTTTTGTTAATAGTTTATAGAGTGATAGGTTAGTTAACAGAAAGATACTTTAAGCTTTACTAGTAAATAGTTTTTTTATAAAATATAATCTAAGTACTAGTATAAAAAAAAATATATAATATTTAAATAATATATATAGATATATATAAGAATTTATTTTATGATAATTAAAAATAATTAACAAAATAGATAATTAAAATGTTTAAATAAATAATTTTCTAATTGATTATAGATATAATAACTAGTACAATACTCTAAACAAACTACTTAAAAAAATAATTAAAGGTTTAGTTGTACTTTTATTATTATAAAATAATTGTAATACTTAATTCCAATATATTAATAAAAATATTATTATAAAGAATAACATTTAACAATAAAAATAATTTCAAAAAAATTT